TGATCTACTATTTGTCAATATCTCAAACTTTGTTTTCTGTTTTGGTTCCAGCCTCGAGTCTGAAAGCGCAGAATTATTTCTGGATAGTCTGAGTAGCAGTGAGTGATTTGTGGGGAGAAATTCAAACTGTGCGAAGGCAAATGAAACCTGAATCAAACCAGTTAAATTAACTCGCCATCTTGGAGCTGACTGAACGGCTCTCTTATTTAAAGGGCTCTGATGAGTTTCATTTTCCTGTCAGCATCATTTTGAAACCTCACTGCGGTCCTAGGTAATGACAGTGGCTCTTTTTTGCTTGGAGTGTTGGCTCCCTGCAGAGAAGGCATCCTTTGTTTGCCTCAGGTGGTCTATCAGAGGTTATCTGCTCAGTCGTGCTGCCACCCGGGATCCTCTGGTCTGCAGTTTGATCTGGAAACTGGGGCAATATTAATTTTAAGACCTGCCTGTGAGTCGCAGACATGTGAGCCTGGCCTGGGTCAGATTGGTGAAAGCCTTTAATGAAAGGATGGTGACTGAATTCACCTCTACATCCAAGGAGTCCCTGCAGGCAGGACCCAAGCTCTGAGCCCACTGCATTTTACCCCTAAGCATCACTCCCGGTCACATACCCCTGTTCGTTACTCTTCCGTCTGAACCTGAGGGACTCATTTCATCTGTTTTATTCATCTGAAGGTCAATATTAAGCTGAGAGAGTCTCCCCTGTACTTTACAGGGGTATTGTTACTCTGAAGGGAGACTGAGCCCTCCAGTCCTGTGCACCTTGTATAACTGCAATTACTTTCTCCCAAGAAACATCCTCAAGTGTCTGCAATAGGTGAAATGAAGTCCAGCCTTTGAGTCTATTTCTCCCATCAACACTGAGGTAGCAGCAGGTTACAAAGGCCTTGGAAATCTGATTGAACTCCCTTCAGACAGTGGTTGGGAAGAGAAAAGCCCAGGGGAGGTTCTCTTTTATCCATGAGGATGTGAAATTTCTTTTGTGGCTGACAAAGCTCTTAATTCTGCCTTTTTATTGATGAAGAATTTCTGGGTACCTCAACTGTTTCTCAGTTTCCCTAGACAGCAATTGACCTTCTTTCAGCTGTGCATCAAAATGCACTGGCAATCAAGGTGCAATTGATTTAAACCTAATGACCAGCCACTCAGGAATTTCATCTGGAAAAAGAAAAATCAATGCCACCTTATTATTTTTTTTTTTTTTTTTCTGTTAAGATATTACAATGAAAAGGCATACGAGTCTCGCCATCTCCTTACCATTAAACAATACACTTGCAGGACCAGGAACATTGGGTCAGGCTCCGGTAAGGTAGCCAGCCAGCTACAGATTGAAATGACTTTAGGGTTAAACAATTTTCCTTGATTGCATGCTGCCATCCACGTCTCTCTTTGCTGACCTTCCCTGAGGCGTGCAAGCTGCACTGCTATGTGGGACTCCAGAGAGGATGTCTTGAGCAATGCATTAGCCGTATTACTGGAGGAGCTCTGTATGGGAAGGATGCTCCCTGTCTTGTCCTTTCCTCATTTCGGATGTTTTTCTTCCCCCTCTTCCCCCATCCCAAGGGGAAGGTGTCACTCAGAAGATTGGTTTACAAGACTGGTTTAAATGCACAGCAGGTAGGCACCAGACAGATAGTTGCTTAGATCTATGGTAGGACTAAGCAACACCAGAGGCTCCCTCTTATCTAGCAAATGGGGCATACCAGGATCTGTCCTGTCACCCATAGGGTGAATGGTCCATTGGTCATTGACTATGTCTGTGCTGCCGAACTCTTTTACCTGTGAAAATGAGGTGGTTTTCCCCTTTGGGTTTCTCAGGAACATGCATGGCACTTATTTACTCCAGTGTAGGTATTGTCTGGGAGAGGGCACAGGCTGAAGCCAGCTATGGGGTGTGCTAATACTTTACTGGTGTGGGTGATTAAGGAGGATACTTGAGCCTGTAACGTAGTTGTTCTCAGTTCCTTGGGACAGTAGAGATATCAGTCATACCATAACAACGCCATCGTGTGCAGGCCTGGTTTAGTTCTTTTGCAGAACCTTATCTGTCAACACTCCAGAGACTCTGAAGCCAAATCACTTTTTCAAATGTTACTGAGTCTCTGGCTTCCTTTTAATCAGCCTTTTGCAAAAGGGGCTTGGCTCCTGCATCACATGGCTGATGAACATTTAGGAGCAAGGGATGGTGTGGGACAGTCCTGACTCCTGACACCACCAACATCCCGGTGACATTCTGAAGTGCTCCTGGGTCTCAGGTCACTCAGGCATCCTAAAGCATTTTCCCCTGTGGCCTCTGCTTACTTTTCTTCTCTTGTTCCTGAGGAGTGGGAGAAGAACTGAAGGATGGTTTAAATTTCCCATTATTTTGGAGAGTCCCCATGCAAATCAACTTGAAGAGATGGGAGTGACCCTTCCTCATAATCCTTCTCTTTCAAGGTGACCACCTAAAACTGCATGAGGAACAAGTCCCCATCTGCCTGACCCAAGCTTTGCTGCAGCCACTGATGCAGTGACCAACTATTGACCTCTTCATCTATTTTTCTGGGAGGGTACCTGTTTGATTTGCACATCTTCTTCCAATTTCTGTGGCATATCTCTGCTGACCACTTTTTTGCTTGGACAAATGGCAGGGCTAAGAAGGCTTCTGAGGTGGTTTACAGTTTTGGGTGAAGTCTCTCAGACTTCAGTGGCATTGATGGTTGGTGTCACATGTCAGGGAGACTTGCACTTTTTTCAAGCCAGGTCAGGGGGAACTGAGCAAAGTCTCCTGACAACTTACTCTTTAATTGCTGAGTTTTCCTCAGATTCTGCCTATGGTGATGTACTTTCATTTTGTTTCTTTGGGAGAGGCAGAAGGAAGAAGGGGAAGGTTTGTGGACAAGCTATTGGAGACACAGCAGAATGATCTCCTAAGCAAGTGGTCTCACCCAAGCTTGGTAAAGCACCAGGTGCTCCACAGTTGAGGTTGCGGCTGGGTCTCCGCCAGACTCTGAAGCCTCCTAAACAGCAAAACTGGGACAGCTTAGCAGCCCGCAGGAGGTCTTTCAGGTTGCCAGTGCTCAGTGGGCAGCAGTGGTTGGAAGACTGCCATGCTGCAAGCACCAGTCCTAAGGCAAATGTGCCTCTCCACCCACTCTCACCTGCCGAAGTTCGCTTGCTTCCTCCAAAAGCAGCTCCACCTCGCACCAATATGTCTGTGCTGACACAGGCTGATGTCACCCTACCAGGAGCGGGAAGAGGGCATGGTCCTCTGTTCATTTAGCACAAGCATAGCTGCATATGGAAATGAGTTTTCCTGGGAAAGGCAGGGCACCTGCTTGCTGTCTTATCTGCTGCAAGGGGATTGAGGGCTTTGGGACTAATCCTTCTGTGAAACTGAATCTGAGTTTCCAAGCTAATCTGCAAATTGGTTTAATTTTGCCAGCAGTTTCCCCAGGTTTGGGGCTGAGAGCTGTGTCATGTATATTCCACAGGTGTATTTTTACTTGTGTAGCTTTCCTGCCAGTTCACTTAGGACAAGCACTGAACTATTTGATAACATAATAAAATGGGTTTTCTATGTGTTAAACCAAGTGCTGTGAATGCAAGCATTGCAGCATACTTAGTTAAGCTCTCTCGAATGTTAAACAAGTTTCTTGCTTCATTTGTAGTGTAAGAACAGAAGACCAGGTCTTAGCAATGGTTTAAATATCTCTTGTAAGCCAAAAGGGAGACTGCAGATGTTTCAAGTTTTTTAGAGGAAGTAAAATTAGGCTTTTACTAGCCATTGCTCTGTTAGAGCATCTCTGATATAAAAGGGAAATAGAGAGAAAATATCAAGTAAAAATAATACATATGTATGTGTGTTTGTATGTGTAATTCTTGTTTTCCTCCAGGCAGCACACTGGGGACAAGTAATCCTACTGTAAGAATTTGGCCTTAGAGGATCTAATATGAAGCTCTTTAAGCCAGGAATATTTCTGTGATTTCTATGGTCAGGCCCAGAAACAAAACCCTGAGCTCATTCTTGCTGTGGCAGGTATATCCATAATTCAAAAAGCATTTTCCTTTGGCTGTACCTGAACAGAATTAGTGTCCTGGTGAGAAATTGTTTAGGCTGGAAAAGGGAACTTTTAGCCTTCTGAACTATCCCTTTTGTTTTCTTACGCCTTAGTGCAACCCGCATGAAACCACCAGGCTGGTGGTCTGGTGAGACAGAGGATGGCTGTTGTTCCTGTGCAAAAGGAGACAACTGGCTCCTGGGGCTCAAGTGACTGCACCTCCATGTCTTCCAGGTGAATCTGGATGGGGATGGTCATGCTGACAAGCTCCATCACAGCCCTTTTTGCCTTGGAGGCATTGAAAGACGTAGGGCACCCAGAGCAACAGAGAGGATTTCAAACCCAGTTCAGAGGAGTTTTAATTCTCTGGGTCAGATCCAATCTCACCTTCAGGTGGTGATTTTTCAGTTGATTTGAAGAGCACTGCCTGCTCCTTTTTCCTTCAGTTGGGTTTTAAAAGGGTGGTAAAGCACTTGCCAAGGGTGAAGGTGGCTGCAGAGACTGACAGCTGATCACACCAGCTGCCTGCCCTTCGTAATTGCAGATTTCTGAGAACTGAAAACGGTTCTTTTATCTTTGGTTTGTTTGGGTTTTTTTTCCCTACCTCTCTTATCAGAGCCTTTAGAGTAAAGGGACATTGTCCTCAGAATGACAGTGGTGTACCTGCAGAAGGATGTCAGCCATTCTCTGACAGGGCCCACAATTGCCAAGACACCTCGGGAAGTCCTCTGTCACCACACATTGTCATGTGCTCCTGTTCACCCCACTGATTTGTGGTGGGGTTTTTTGCTTCTCCAAGTGGGGATGTATTTGGAGAGCTAGACCAGGTTGTGCACAAATGTGGAAGGCTGTATTTCCTCATGAGGTGATACCAAAGACAAGCTGATTTGGGTGCTTTGATATGTAATTCATTGCCTATGTCTTCACCTTGGTATCTATTTATTTCCTTTCTTCATTAGGAAAATGGGAGCCACTGCCCCAGCGTGACCTGCCTCTAAGGTACAACAAAATAAAGACCACCCGTCCCACTCCCTCAGACACCTCCCAGCATGGATGGCGTGGTTGAGCAGAACAATGTGCTAATGCACAATAAGATCGCGGAAGCTGGGAAAAGGAATGGTTTAATTAATACACGGAACTTAGTGGCAGAGAGCCGAGATGGTCTGGTCTCTGTGTACCCAACCCCCCAGTACCAGAGCCACCGAGCAGGGAGCCTTTCCTCTCCCAGCTGCCTGGAGAATGGCAGGAATGACCCTGTGCAGCAGCTCCTGGACCCCAACATGCTGCAGCAGACGGTGGAGTCTCACTACCGGCCCAACATCATCCTCTACTCGGAGAACGTGCTGTGCTCATGGGGTGAGAGCATTGGCTCAGAGTGCTGTGAAACCACTTTCATCGAGGACCGCTCCCCCACCAAAGACAGCCTGGAGTACCCGGACAGCAAGTTCATCGATCTCTCGGCAGATGACATCAAGATTCACACCCTCTCCTATGATGTGGAGGAAGAGGAGGATTTCCAAGAGCTAGAGGTCAGGCGTCATTTGGGATATGTGGGAAAGGCTGAGGGGGAGGAAATATTTGGGGTTAAGTGTACAGTCTCCAAGAACTGGTCTGCATAGGATCAGCTGTATCACTTTCTCTTCTGGCCAGGGCAGTGGGCAATCACTCATCTTTATTCGCTGGGTAAAGTCTCAACTCTGTGGATACTAATGGCAAAATTCCCACTGGCCCTGACGGGAATCGGCATTTCCCTCCTGCCTCTGAATGGGCTGGTCAGTAACTAAAGAAGACCCCTGTTCTTAAATGCTGTCTAAGTTTGGGGTCAGGAGCATCTGTCCATGTACATGGAGCTTGTTGTAGTCAGCAGGCCAACATAATTTCTTACTTTCTCCCAAATTGAGCAGGGCATAAAGCAGATTGTTTTTCATACTGGCTTAAATATGAAACCTTTCTGTCTCTGAATGAACACAAAACCAAAAGTCTTTGGGTTTCAAGCAGCAATGAATCCCATGTCTCTGAAATAAAAGATTTTTTTCTGATGGAGTGAAACACTTCATTAGATCCCAAATGCAATGTTTTCTTTTAGGTTCCTGTGCTTCATTGATTGCTCATAGTAAAGGAAGATTCATTTTGTTCTCTGAATGGGCCAGACTATGGAAATCAACTTCATTCTTTCCTAAATTATATATTTTTGACTTTAAAAACTTTTGTTGGTTTTGGCTGAAACCAACTGTCCAACTGCAGCACAGATTTGTGTTTGCCAGTGTGTGTGTGAATTTAGGAGGTGCATAATGCTGCTGATCTCAAAACTTTTTCCAGCACTGGACACAGACTTCTAACCTAGCAAAGTCTTTTTGGCTGTCTGGAGCAAAGACATGGCTTCAACTTGAATGTCCAAGATGAGATCAAGAAACTATTTTCTTGTGTTTCTCTGTTGCAGGAGTTTTCTCCACTGAGACCTAACAAGTCCTAAAACTTCTATTTTCACCTCCTGTTATACCAGTGTCTCATCCTGTGATCAGCACGGAGGCAACCCAACAAAAGCCCAACTTCTCTTTTATTCTCTTTTCTCTCTGTATTGATAAGGTAGGGAGAGAGAGAGGTGTTTTTCCCAGTGTGTGCCAGTAATGCTGTATTCAGTGCCTCCACAGGGAGACAAAAACTTTGTCTGTGAGGCATGTGAGGGTGTTAGCTCAAATCACACCCTTCTACAGCATTTCAAAATTGGCTGTGGGAAGTCTTGTTTGCTTAACCAAACAAAATCCCTGGTTGCTGCCTTTTTGCCCTAGTTTCTCTCATGCAGTAGCGATGCAAGTGACTGCAGCAGGCATGTAATTGCTAAATGGTGTTATTGACACAACTGACATTTAGGCAGCAAAAAACTTGAGTCTCCCTTTTGTCAATCCAAATCCAGCAAGACCGTCTTTAGCCAGCTCTTGGAAGATAGGCTAAAAAAGGCCAGGAAAATAGGCAGGACAAGGGGAAAATATTTCGTACCAAAAAATTTTTCCCTTTTCTTGGTGGGATTTTTAAGGTGTCTTTGCAGTGTTTGGCCCTTGATCAAGATGTTTCTTGAAAGTGGCACCACAGGAGCTTGATCAGCTTTTCCTAGAGAACCTGTGTTTCTAGAAAACCACCTGTAAAACTGAAGGTCTGAGGATCTCCCCTCCCCAGATCTCAAGGGGAGAAAAGAGAGAATTTTTACAAATGTTGGTACCATGCTGTGACAGCATGCACATCATTTTCCCTGGCTCCATCTTCTTTCTCTCCTATTTCTCTGGACTGTAGCCTCCTGAGGTCATATAAATCCCCTCTTAAATGAGTGTACTGCATCTGACACCACAGACTCCGAGCCTCAATTAAACCCACTGGCTGCTAATAAAGAGAGCTGTATGGACAGCCATCCTGACCTACACGTACAAAGTGCTTGGAGGACAACATTCAGAAAGTATACACCCATGTGTCTTCCTCTGTTCTGTACTGGAGTTTCTTCTTCACCAACAGACTGGAGAAAGGGATGAGGAAATGAAGCAAGGTCTGGGGAAGGACCTGCCTGACTGGAAACACGTGCATTGCTAGAATTCCTAGAAGTCTCTGCTTCTAGCCTGGTATTGTAGAATCATAGAATGGTTTGGGTTGGAAGGGACCTTAAAGATCATCTAGTTCCAACCCCCCCTGCCATGAGCAGGGACACCTTCCACTAGACCAGGTTGCTCAAAGCCTCATCCAACCTGGCCTTGAACACTTCCCGGGAAGGGGCATCCACAGCTTCTCTGGGCAACCTGTTCCAGTGTCTGACCACCCTCACAGTGAAGAATTTCTTCCCAATGTCTAATCTAACTCTACTCTCTTCCAGTTTAAAGCCATTACCCCTTGTTCTAGCACTACCTGTCCTTGTCAAAAGTCCCTCCCCAGCCTTCCCATAAACCCTCTTCAGGTACTACAGGCACAGGCTGCAATAAGGTCTCCCTGGAGCCTTCTCTTTTCCAGGCTGAACAGCCCCAACTCTCTCAGCCTGTCCTCATAGGAGAGGTGCTCCAGCCCTCTGATCATCCTTGTGGCCTCCTCTTGACTCATTCTAATAGGTCCACATCCTTCTTACGTTAAGGGCCCCAGAACTGGATGCAGTACTGCAGGTGGGGTCTCACGAGAGCTGGGTCTCAATCTCTGTCATTGTGCTACTTGGCCAACCTTTTGCAGCACTGTGATTTTTCACAGAAACCAACCAAGGGTTGGTTTCTCCATGAATCAGACCCAAATGACAAACGTGCTGAGCATCTGCTCTTAGCACAAGGTTCTCAGCATGGGGAGTAACTGCCAGCATTCCAGAAGGTCCAGATTCTGTGCATGCATACGGTAGTGCAGAAAGATGGGGAGGAGAGGAGAGATCCATTTTACACAACAAGACCAGGAAAAAAGTGACTGCTGCGTTACGCTCTTCTGGTTCCCATCTGGACAAATGCTGTATCTATGTGGCCAGATGCATGAGGGCCTCCTGGGCTTAGCTAGTATAGAGGTTCACTAGAGACATAGCTTCATGTGTTGAGACTCCAGGAAAGGAAGAAAAGTATTTAAGTACAGCAGTCACTGAGTAGGGGAATGAGCCATGCCAGATTGTTAACTACAGAAAAATTTGCCTCTCTGTCCAAATGAGAAAAACAGCACCTGAATCACACAGCATGCATCTGGCCCACTAGAAAGCTTTTTTTTTCTTCCACCAGTTACTGACAAGAAGCAAATGCTTTTTAAAATTACTAATAGACCCAAAGTGGGGTGGAAAGGGAGCAGAAGTTAAAAGGGGAACAGTGAGGGAGTACGGTACAGCAGAGGTGCAAGGTTTTGCTTCCCCACTGTGAGAGCCTTGAAGGATTTGATTCTCCCACCGAGGATGCACAGCACGTTGCTGAGTATGTTGCCACATTGAATGTCATGCCACAGCTCATCGAGGGGTGGGAGCTGCATAGCATAAGAGCAGATCAAGGCTCAGTTCTTGTAAGGGGTTTTTGTCATAACATATCTGCTTTGGCACTTCTTTCTGGGTGAAAACACTAAAAATGTCCCCTTTTTGCAAACATTAGCGAAGAGGGGAGCTTTGTGCAGAAAAGCTGTTGTCTCTTGAAAACTGGGGGCTACTGCCTGTTCTCTGTATGTCTGGACAAGGCAAGTGGATTCTCAACTGGAACATCTCAGTAAAATGCCTTCTGGGAGACAGAACAACCCTGGGGTTATGAGTTGCTTCTTTTCTGGCCTCTCACACATCTCTGGCACTGCCTGTGTTACTGCAAAGCGCCTGCCTGGGGGTTTTTCAGGACCAGGTATTTAGTTTCCTAGAAATACAGAAAAATCTAACTCACTCCTTTGTAGGGATCCTCTCCATGCAATAGCTGCAGGAGTCCATGGACACATGCAGAGAACAGTTTTCATGGACCCTGCTGGTCAGTGTGTTTCTGCTAGGGTTTTGTTTTTGAAGAGAGTTGAGTTGAGCTCTTGATAACTGGAAAGGTTGTTGTTTATATGGTTTTCCTGTAGAAAACTTTGCTGCAGAGAAAGTTGCTGAAAAACACCAACTAGTTTGACTGACAGAGTGGTTTTGGTTTGAAGAGCTGACCCAACCAGGCTGCAGGTCTTGCTCCTCTATTACCTGCCATCCCCTTCAGCTCACCAAGGTCTCTTCAAGAGAAGGAGGTACCTTCTTCCTTCCCCAAGCCCAGGGACTTTGATCTAGCAGAGGAGCAGGAGACATCCTAAGCAGAGGCCCTGCACTGAGCTGCAACAACAGGGCCATGTTTAACTTACTTATTTATTTTAATTTTTGCCAGTAGTATTTCTCAGGCCCTGATGTGATGTTATTCACGCTGCCTATGAAAATCATTATTGTCTGGAGGGAAAAGCATTTCTGAAACAGCTCTTGTTAGCATGTACAGCCCCACTTTGCTCCAGCAATTACCAGGCATGAAAGCAGAAGGCTGCACATTCTGTCAAAGCTTTAAACTTCTCATTTCAGTGCCCATCCCTGAAATCAAATGATTCCTTATTTAGGTATCTCTGGAAGGCTTATAAATATCTTAGGAGTTCTTTACACCACAACTAATGGACAGACAACTTGTCAGATGTGGCGGCAGTGAAATATTACACGAATTGCTAGCTGAAATACCGTCCTGTTAGAGTTCATGTGTAAATGCAGTGCCGTCTTTTATCTAGAAACATAATTTGTCATATTACACTCCTGCTAGTTTTCCTCCTAACCCCTAGATAGATGGGTTATTTAGAGAAACCCAAGCTATTGATGGCAGCAAATGGAATTATTCATATGTGACGCATAAAAGAGTACATCTGAGCTCTCTCTTAAAACTCTTATTCTTTTTCCCAGCAATGTCTGAGACAGTCTCTGAAAATGAAATAAATAGAATGTTCTGGGGAGTGAAAGAAGAAAGGAAATGCAGTGCTTTCAAGCTAAACCTTCCTTCTTTTTTTTCCTCTACAAATTGCTGGATGCTGCTGTGAAACTCATCCCTTCAATGAGAGCATA